AGTAATTAAATGCTTCTAATAAATATTAATGAAACTTATAACTAAATAAGCATAAGTTAAAGATTGTAATTATAAGTTTTGTTATTTTTTTATATATTAACAGTTCTAATTTTGTGGATGAACTGACATCTTTTTCTTTTTACTTCCTTTGATGTTTTTTCTGTTAATATTGAATACTTTTTATAAATATATCATAAGGTAGATAGAGCCAGTAAAGAATGAGTTGTGAGTGAACTTGCATTTGTTATCATTAAAAATAAAAAACGCAGTTAATTATATTTACTGAGCAAGGCGTTTAAGGGTTTCAAAAACATACCGTAGGTATCCTAATGATAAGTCTTTATTATAAAAATAAAGTGATTATGGGATTGATATTTATTCAAATAATTTCATTAAATTGGAGATCAAAGGTTTTACGAAGCTAGTTATTCCAATAAACTGCACAAGAAACGTTTTTCTTAGGATTTCCTAGATTTTGGAATACTAATGAAACTATTAATTAACGGCTAAGTTAAACCGCCCAGTGATAGACGACCCCTCCAGTTGTCCACGTTTTTTCACTAAAAAATATGCTGAGCTAACACTAACAGAAGTAAAGTACCAAAATAGTGTCTAAAACAATCGCTTCTCTTTTATTCAAATATGAAGTAAGTTTTTTATCGATGACATAAAAATAAACATATACGATGACTTGTAGCAATAAAAGTTCCATAGATTACAATAATTTTTAATAACTTTCACAAAATTTTCTACGCGAAATCAAGTTTTTATAGCACGTTAATTTTTAAAGATTTTTTTATTTCATAGTAAAACTACTGTCATCTCGGTGGCTTCTAAATGTTATACCAATGAGCGCAAGTATAAATCTGCAATATCAAGTTCCTATCACAGTGTGCCGCAGCTTATTGACAAGATTATATATTGATAAGATAGTGCCACAGCTTATTGATAAGATTAGAGAATACACTAAATATCATTTTAGTGACATTCTATATTGCACAACCGTGAAGCAGTTGTACAATATGTCATGCTTTTAAACTACTCCAGTTTTATTGATATTATTGTGGTTTTAAATTTTAATCTAAACATAGCATATTTATTGAGTAGTGTGCTTGCTTCAATGCTTGCCTGAATTCAATTGCTTGCTCAAATTCGCAAACAAGTACTTGGCATGGAACACGTACAAACAGTATATTTTTTTAATTTATAGGTGACCTAAAATAACTTGTTGTATAAATTGAAAACTATGATTTTCCTAAAAGATTTATACCACGGTACAGGAAAAGTTAACAAAACAGTTTTTTTCACACGTGAAGCTACGTGATCTACAATAACCTCATATTTTCACATAATTTTTTATATTTATTTGGGTGTTTTTTTAATTGGGATGGAGTTGGTAGTAAATGAAATTGAGAAAATACTTTTTTAAAGTTGAATAGGTTTGGCAATTTCTTTACTTACTAAAATACTTTCTTTTAATGCTTTCTTTTAAATTAAATTTATATAAAACATTTCACATTAAGGTAATTCGCGTCAAAAAATTCAATTTTTTGACGCGATTACGTTTGAAAAATTAAAAAAAAATTACGTTTGAAAAATTCAATCAGTTTTTTACATAGTGGTAGGTAGTCCAATATTAGAATTTTGCATTATATTAGATTGAAAATAGCAATAGACAGTAAACGTGTAAAACACGCAGAAAGTAACTTGCTTCCATATTTTATAACTTCAAGCTAGCTAATTTTTAAATCTGTTTAAAGCTAAACTTAAGTCAGAGTGAATAAAAACATAATTCATTTTCGGTATTATATGTGGAGAAGTCACGCATTAAATCGCCTAATTGAATATTATTTTTAGAAGCTAGAGATCCGTGGCTCAACGCCACCTTTAGACAAGCTTTATAAAATTGGTAAGGAAGAAGGCGTGAACTTCCTTTCGAATGCTCTTCAGCAGTGCTCTGTCATAAGGACTTGTTGGGGCACCTAAAATAAAAATAAATAAATTAAAAAAAAAGATTTTTTTTTTGTATTTTCCAGAATCCGCAACATTTATTTTTTACCTTTAAGTTTTTGCTAATGCATTATTGTAGAGCTTTCCTTCGTTATATCATTTGTATTTATCATAGACGGCCATTCTTTTGTGGGATACCGGTATAAAATGAAAGCTGGAGTCCTTTTAAGTTCATACTATTCTTTGAAAAGTTCATTCATAATTATCTATGAGACATCTATGTATCTCTAATATACATTCATCTTACTAATAATGCAGGCCATATAAGAACTATTTATAATACAGTCCATATAGGAACTACTTATAAAGCAAAAATTCTATTATATCTTTAAAAAATTTTTTCCGGTCACCTTTTACATTTTACAGTTTAGTAGATGACTATTAATGACTATCGCACTAAAAAAACTTCATTGGAGAATTAGTAATAATGGTTGAATTTAAATTTTTTTAACATTCTCTGGTTTTCTTTTTGGTCAAATTAGTTAGAGGAATAATATTTGAAAACGATGCTGAATGATTCGATTGAGTTGGTGCCAGTTCAGTCCTATCAGGTGACAAAATTGCAACCAGAAAGATGCAATAACAGATTAACTTTAGATGTTTTGGCTCTGTGCAAATTTTTATGTAAAATATCAGTTTTATTTTGAATCAAACAGGTTTGAGTAAAAGTAACTTTTTGATAAATTGCATTTATTAAATAATGACGTTTTTAGTGCAACTGTATTAATCAAAAATAAATCATTAAACTTTGTGGAATCTAACAGATATATACCTGAGAGTTCTTTTACATTTGTAAGACTATATTTGTATTTTACTATAGAACATCTTTTTAATTTATTGTGTTTTTCAAAGCCATTTGCTGAGTGCAGCTCAGTGCAGCTACTAAAATGCAATACATTTACAAAAACTGTATATAATGTTTGACGCGTTTTTTTTCTTGTTGTTTTATCATGTCTTTTGTTTCTATTTTAAACTCTTTAAATATTTTTTTTTCAGCTTTTTCTTAATTGATCAATTAATTGATATAACTGCCATCATAAATTTTTATATTTATATAACTAATTTTAAATTTTATTATTACTTTTAAGAAATTAAAAACTTTAATTACATTATTTTTTTTTACTCCAAAATACATTTGTTCATTTAAAAATTCTTAAAGATTTTTTTGAGCTTGAAACTTGAAACTTCATTTTCATTTGTTTGAAGCTTCATTTAGAACTGTTAGTAGTCACCAAGCCTCTAGGGTAAACTTTCAATCATTTTCGGTGTCACAAACAGAAAAAATATATTTTTGAAAAATAATTTTTTTCAAACATTGTGGCATATTTTAAGGAAGACTTAAGAAGTATGTTTCTAAAAACAGTCAATATTTTAATATTTGACTGAAAAAACAGAACTTAAATAATTATAATATTTAAATAATTAAAATAATTTTTATGAAAGTGTCAACACATTCCATAAGTTTGATTTAAGTTATTTAATTATATAGACTATCGTTTTTAAATGAAATTGGTAAGTATTGTTTTTCTTAAACTTTCTAGAGTATAAGTTTTTGACAGACTCTAACAAGATTTCTCGGCAGATCTTGTCAAATACATTATAAACTGTAAATTAGGTTCTATATCCTTCCTTGACAATTTATTGCTAATTGTTTTAGTTTCTTAGTGGAACTGTATAATGTAACTTACTTTCATGAACTAGAGCTTTTTTTTACTACATAGCTTTAGGCCAGAACTAAAACGGAAATATTGCCAAAACTATGCCAATACATGCTAGAATATATGTCTGGTTAACATTTAGTTCTATATAAATTTTTATTATGTTAAGGAAAACCAGAGTAACATTCCAGACCAGAGTAACATTCCAGACCAGAGTAACATTCCAGACCAGAGTAACATTCCAGACCAGAGTAACATTCCAGACCAGAGTAACATTCCAAAGAGTATGAATCTTTTTTTCTAAAGACATCAGTTAGAAATTTAACAAGAACTTGAAAAAAAAAACAAGTATATAGTTTAATGATTTTATATTCATTATTGGCACAGCCGTGGCTTGGCTACCCCACACCCTTAATTGTGGGGGTGGGGGACAGCAAATTTAAGGGGGCCGAATTGTTAATTTAGGAACTTATTCAAACTTAAAAATATTTTTTTTTAGTAATAAGTAATAAAGAAAATTTTTAAATTTTGGCGCTCTATGTCAAATTTATTTATTTTTTTGAGGGGGAAGGGGGGGGGGGTTACAGCTCTAGCATATTAGGTAATTCGCAACCCTAGTAGAAAGTAGTAGTTTTAGCGCTATATGCTGATATATATATATATATATATATATATATATATATATATATATATATATATATATATATATATATATATATATATATATATATATATATATATATATATATATATATATATATATATATACGTATTAGTGCTTGCATATATCCTCGCGAGAGTGCTCGATGAATTAAACTAAATTAAAATGATTTAAATTAAAACAGAGCTGTATTTATATATATTATTTATAAATAAAACTGCATATTTTTCACAACTATTAGTTTCATGCTAAATGCAATCATCAGGTGTAAATTTTATTACAAATTTACACCTGATTTTTTGATTGAAATTTATTAATTTTATTACATAATTTAGGTGTGAATTTTATTACAAATTTTATTACAAATTTACACCTGATGATTGCATTTAGCATGAAACTAATAGTTGTGAAAAATATGCAGTTTTATTTATAAATAATATATATATATATATATATATATATATATATATATATATATATATATATATATATATATATATATATATATATATATATATATATATATTTATATATATATATATATATATATATATATATATATATATTTATATATATATTTATATATATATATATATATTTATATATATATATATATATATATATATATATATATATATATATATATATATAAATATATATATGCATATATATCCGGTTCATTTTTATTTTTATTTACTTATATTTAGAAGAATTATTACATTATTTAGTTTTTCTTTTTATGCTTGGTTTTTGTTTTAGGTCTTCAGCTCATTGATCACTTTTACAAAATCAATTTCATTGTTAATCATTGATTCGCTAGTTTTTGAACGTAGCCTTATTCCAATATATTGCGGATTTTTTCTACGCACTCGACAACATCTGGCACGCCTAAAATCGTTATGCATTTGAGAATATATGATGATGTTTAAAGCACTATTTGCCACTTGAAGTACGGTTAAGTAAGTATTTGCTTGCAGTAGCAAATTATAGGATTTAACATTTTGTATTGTTTTTGTTATGTAAAGAGTATATGTTATTGCTTGAAATAAGTCCAACGGAAACACACAAAAGCTAAAGCAACAAACAACAACAACCAGCATTTTTCTAGCTTTAATTGCGCATATTATACGTTTAAACTTATGTCGTCGATCTGTAATTGTTTTAATATTACTTTGAATATACTGATTTGTTTTATACCCAAAATAAACCATAGCAACAGTAGCTAAAAAGTCCCGAAGTGTGTTTCCAACAGAATAAAAGTATAATTGATAATGTTTATTACTATTAGGTATACAGGTATAAATATCGTATCCGGTATCAATCACTATCTCTAATGAGTCTGTATATGGTGACACTAAAATCAGTGAAATTAAAATAGTTAACAAAATCCAAAATCGTATTAAAATTTTTTTAAAACTCCGATAAAACGGAGATATAACAACTTTATATCGCTCGTAAGATATAAACACTAAAATACTTTGAGATAGAGTAATCGAGACAGGGAAAAAACTTGATAAAACTTTACAACCAAACTGGCCAAAATCCCAACGTCTATAGTTAGTTAGGGTGCCATATGTAAAAATAATTGGAGTAATGAACGAAGTCAATAGGTCTATTAGAGCTAGAGGAACCAGAAGAGTTTCAAATCTGCTCCGACTTTGACGCTTTTTCCAAGCAAATACGTAAAGAACTATGATGTTCCCGATAACTCCAACAAAAAAAACTAATGCAAGGCCGAATAAAACAAATATATTTGCTGAGTGAAAACTATCTCTATGCTTAATAAAACTGTTTACTTGAGAAACTTTATAGTTGGATATATTTTCTAAGGTTTTCATGGTTGCACTATCTATGAGAAAAAAAAACTAATAAAACATTTGGCTTAGTCTAGTAAAAGTAACTAAATGCTAAATAAATAAAAAAAATTAATAAGTTTTTAAACATAAAATAAAAGTATTTACATGATTTTTAAAGGATTTTATTTTAAAAACAAAACAATTGTAATTTACGCTTTATTTTAAATTTACAAGTTTTAGTTTTTTATATCTCTTCCAACCGATAAACTTGATGAAAAGTACAGGATTCCATATTCGGTTACAAAAAATGCTTTATTCATTAAGAAAAGTCTCGATTTTTTTAAAAATTTAATCAACCAATAAAAAAAAAACAATTAGTTTAAGTAACTCTACAAACAACATATTTAATTCAAATGTAGCTTTTGTATGACACGGCGTAGTTAAATGCTCATTTAAACTAAAACGAAGTTTGGCTTATAGAAATATTTTGAAAGGTATAGTTTATATGTAGAAATTATTTGTTTTTTTATAAATTAAAAGCAGCTGTGTTCATAAAAATTTTGCTCTTAAAATCTTTATCGTATTAAAAAAACTAGCTAAACTTGTTTTAAATTAAAAAATGATACTTACAAAAGGTGTACAACCCAGGGACGGCTGAATTAGCGGCAAAGTTGCCAAGAGATGTACCCTCTCCTTTGGAAAAAGTAAATCTTTAATAAAAATTAGGTCAAACATCTTAATTTATTATTTATCGAAGGTGTTTTGCTATTTTGAATAAATTCTTCTTCCCCCTCCCTCACACACATTTAAATTGATTACGCTGCGCTTAAATATAGCGCAAAATAGTTATATTAGAGTTACGTTATAAAGAAACATACATAAATAGGAGATTTAGAAAAAAACTTTAAAATCAAATAATATATAAATAAACAATTTGCAGAAATCAATCCAAATAAAAAAAAATTGGATGCTTTTTGTTTGTGTCAGCACGGGTTGTTTTATGTCCCTCCTCTTCTTTAAATATTGTCCGTTCTTAATCTAAAGTTGAGCCAAATAATAATCCAGTGTAATCAATTAATCTTATAACTATAATTTTGAAGAATGTAAAACTAATACTTTTGCAATCTCTTGAATGTAAATAAAAGAAAAAATAATATAAATAATATTTTAAAATCTCTAATACAAATACTGTGTTTAGTCAATCTAGTTCAACGGTAGATTTTGTTGAAACACGCTGTTAAAAAAAGCAGTGATTCCCTTGTATATCCTCGTAGGGGTTTGTTTGATAACGCTATAGTGTTCTTGTGTTTTTGAATATTTTTAGTATTGTTTTTTTTTTTTTTAATTTTTAAATTCTTACATAAAGTTCTTATGTAAAGGAAAGTATATGCTTTTATATAAGAATTGAAAAAAGAAAGAAAAGAATATAAATTTTAGAGAATGCTTTTTCTGAGATTTATTTATTTTTGAACTGAAACTATTCTAGATATAGCGTTTTAAAACAAATCCAACTTTAATCATACGCAAGCAAGGCAAGACTTTATTCGAAATGAAATTGACTTCATTTAAAGGTTCTGTTGTTTTTTCGAAAACAAAAAACATTTTGAAGAGTTTTATTTGCTCAAAACCAAGTGAAAAAATAATGCAGAACATACCTAATACAATTAGTTTTTTTAAAAAAAACTCACTATGAATCTAATAATTTCCATAATTAAAAACAATTTAATAAAAAAAAAATTAATAAATTTTAAAATATTTTACATTAAATTATAAATATCCTTGGACCTGAAACATTTTCTTGATTCCCTCACAGGTCTTTTTCTACTCCTAGCAACGAGACTAAATAAAGATTTAAAAGTTAAGTCCAAAAATATAAAAAATCTTACTATCTTTTTATATTTCAAATGCGCTAATTTTAGCGCATTCAGTAATATTGACAAACGAACAAAAAAAAAAAAATTTTTCAATTTGAATCATGTTTATATTGATTTCCTTTGTTTTTGATTTGTTTTGGGTAAATTAATAACTATATAAAAGTAAAAAAGTTTATTAAACTTTTAAGCTATCATAATAAATTAGGATTTAAAACTAATGCAAAATACTTTATTGAGCCTGGGATGAAAACACCTGTTAAAGTGTCTTGAGTTAATAAACTATTTATTACAACAATCTTTTATAATAATTTATTGAAAATAGTGCAATTAAATTAAATAACTGGCCAGCAAAATGCCTTTTTAAAATGGTATCCAATTAAATATAAGACATGTTTTTAGGCATCTAATAGATTTCTTTAAATCTTTAAAATGCATGTCTAAAACAACTGGGTGCGTTTGAGAAGTGACTTTTCTGGTTTTTTCTATATTTTTAATGACAATTCATAATTAGTACTACACAAAATTTACTTTATTGAAAAATCTTCATGAATCAAACTTTGTACAACTTATTTTTCAATATTTGAAAAACTTATAAACAAAGCATTTGATGGAAACAAGTGAAACAGGGTAAAACATTTTTTGCTTCAAATTGATTCTCCGAAACTTGTTATAAAATATACGAAGTTCTCTAGAATAAAATAAAAGTTTAACTAAAGACTCCTGTAGTCAATATGATAAAATTAAAAATCATTTTAAACAAAAACTATTAAAAGTACATTAAAATGAAAACAGTTGAAAGCAAAATGTTTTCTTTAATTTTAAAAAGTTTTTCAAAACAATTTGAAAGCAAAAGAACAAACTATTTGATTTTAGTTTTTTTTTTAAACTGAAATACAGTTCTATGCGCGAATGGCTTATTTCAAGCAAAATTATTGGTTTAGCTCAGTGTACATAGACGTACACTCTAAATAAAAAAAAGCTCTTGACAATCACATAAGGTTTTTTTGAAAAAAAATTTTGGTGTTGAAAAAAGTTTTTTTAAAAGACTTTCTTGATTTTTTAACAAAAATTTGACTTTTTTCTTGTTAATATAATAAATTTAGCTTTTAATAAAATAAGTTTAGTTTTTCAAAAACTTTATAAATAACTCAAAGTAAAATTTTATAAAGACTTTTCGTAGATAATGGTTGTATATGTATTATTAAATCATTTTTTACTGAAAAATGGCTTTAAAATGTAATAAATTTTTTAGGATTAATATTATTACACATAACACGCTTACCTTAAGTTGATTTTTTGCATGCCTTTGAACCTGGATTCATTGTGCTTGAAAATGTTAGGTTTTTTGCTTTACGTTCAATCTAGATTCATTGCGTCTGTAAATGTTAGATATATAAAAGAGAATATGGATATTATTACTATTTTATTATATATAGATATAGATATATAGAATGTTTAAAAAACTTATGATTAGAGATTAAAGATGATTATGATCAGACAAAAGTTAAATTGTGTTATTATTACTACTGTTAGAAAAAAAAAAAAACAACTTCAGGTAAAACAAGTTTAACCATTAACAGAGAAAAAACTGCAATATAATATTTAATTTTAATAAGAGAATCTTCCAACTGTGATATTCATAATTAAGTGAAGAAGTAAAATAAATTATTTTCATATAATTTTTTTATTTTTTAATTTTTTTAGGGTACAAACTTACTGGGATGCTTCAACTTAAACGAGAATTGTCAATACATGTTTTTGTTGTTGTATATTAGTTATAAGAATTAGTAAGAATTAGTATATCGGTTTGAACCCGATGAAGTTATAGCTATCTACAAAGATAAGACCAAAGTAGTGTCAAAATAGGCGTAGATTTGGGCTCTAAATCCAAAGCAATTAGGGTTGGCATAAACGCGTAATTTAAGTTAAGGGAGTTGTGAATTGAAAAAATGCTGACTTTTATATTCGTATTATTAGCTATTTTAGTATAGCAATGTTAATTACTTAAATAACACGTAACCAAAAATGAAAATTATTTAGAATAATATCAAAATCTCAGTAAAGAAATTACATTTTCTTTAAGACGTTAAAGGTATCTTTTTTAAGACGTCAAAAGACGTTTTACTAAACATCGATTCTCCGTTGTTTCATTAATGCTCATTTTTCGTCAACTTTTAAACCGATTATGTCAGACATAACTTTATTAATATTAAAAAGTATCAAAGTTTGTTATCAATTTTTTGTTATCTTAAATAGTTTTTGATCAGTTTTAAATTCTAAATATTCGTTTATTTGATTATGTATTTATGGTAACTGTTAATATTAATCTTACAAAGACTTAATGATGGGAGCATTAGTTTTACTTGTGCATTTCTGATACACTAAAAATGTCTGATAAATTTAAAAAAAATTATTTTAGATGCATCATAACCTGTTTTTATCATCATAACCTGTTTTTCATAACAGATTCAGGATCAATACTTTATAGAAGTGCATATTTTATTGACCTTTTAACTGAATTATCAAGATTAATATTACTGTTTTCAGTGGTTTGTATCTTAAGAGCATAGATTAAGTGTTTAGATTAAAATTAAGGTCTTCAAAACTTTTAGTCATAATTTTCGTTTTGCATATGATGTTTAAAAATACAAATATACTTCGAATGCAAACGTAAACATTTTTTTAGATAATCCTATAGCTTGAATTCTATTAATTTTGTCTAAATATATGTTAGTTGACATTTCTACGAGGCTTTTTAAAAATGATTCTACACTGATTTTATTAAGCTTTAGCTGTTTATCTTATTTTAGATTAATTATGGAGTTGTAAAAAAATTTTCAAGAATGACAAGCATTTTTGCAAATTTTTCTTTGTAGAGATAAAAATAAAAACAAGTAGTTGCTTCACTTCAAAAAATTAATCTCCAATAAAAAATTATCAATAAAATAAATCATAATTCCATTTCAGTTGTGTTAAACAAAGTTTAACACCACAGTTGTGTTAATGTATAATTTGTACGGTCTTGGCACGGTGTAAATTGAATTAAACGACCAAAAAGAACAGATTGTTTTTGCAATGTTCAATTTATTTTGCTAAACAAATTAAGCAAACTTACATGACTGAAAAGTAAGTTTTTGTCCCAGTCCCTTTTTAATAATAACTCTTCGAATTTATTCTGCAATGTTTAATCCAGTTTTGTCTAAAGCTTCAACTATTTTTAATATTCTTTCAAATACCTCTCCAGAATTATTAACATAATAAATGCAAATTAATATTATCTACCATTACTGGATACTTGAACGGCTTCTTTTTTTCTTTAATAAGCTTTTATTTTACCTCAGCACTTAAAAAGTCTTTTCATGATCATCATCATCATTTCATGATTCCTCTGTAAACATTTATGTAGCGGATTTGCAGTTGACCTATATAGATAACTTGACTGGTTTCTTGAAGTTATGCTCATTGATTACTTAGTGGCTCATTAGTGGCATGCGCTATTAGTGACCAGCTAATAACTTTCCAATGTGATATAGTTGCTAGCTACTTTCGGTCTTTAAAAAACTAAAAAAGCAAAATACTGTGGACCGCTAAACATGCCTATATAAGTCTACTAAAATTCTGCTAAAGAATGTTTGCCGGGTCAAAACAAAGATTATTATAATTATATTTTCGGAATCAGTGCTTAATTACTCAATATTCAAGCCAAGGCCATGACTTGGAGCTATATATATTATTTTTTTGTGAATTAGTCAATAGTGCAAATAATATAGTTTACATATTTATGTTTATTATTATTCTGTTTCCTCTATTATATTTAAAATACTTTAAATGCTTCTGCACAATGTAATCCTGCTAAAAATAAATCATGCTGAGTAAAGTCTGTGGAAACTTAAAAACTTTCAATATAATAATGAAAATCGAGATAATTAAGTTTTAAAGAAAAATTAAATTAAAAAATTTTAAGGAAAAAAAGTCAAACTAACTCATTTGCAATAGTTTTTTTTTTCCCTTTCTTTTTACTATAATAGTTGTGATACAATATAATAAACTATTGAAAAGACTTTTACAAACTTAATTTATTTTCAAAATGACGAATAGAATTTGGTTGATCAAAATAAAAACTTTGCGAGATAAATTTTTTACTTAGGTGCGGTGCTCGACAAAATCAAAATAAAATTGAATAAAATTTGCACACGTTTCGTTACAAAAAATTTTATTTCTATGATATTTTATATCTAATATTTTATTTATATCTAATTTTATGTTGTTGGGTTTTAAATTAAAAAGATCTTTAAAGACTGAGGGGAAGGAGGACTGAGGGGACTGAGGACTGAGGGGGCTGGAGGTGGATAGGTTGTTTTTCCACATATAAACCAAGCAAAAAATTTTCAAAAACGTTAAGTTCAAATATATTTAAAACTTTCATTTCAATAAAGTAAAGTTTACAATAAGAAAAACGACCAGACAGCGATTCTGACAGCGATAATGATGTAACTTTTTTTAGTACTTCTCCAAGCAATATTAACATAGTTTAAGTTTTAAGGGAATAATAGCAGTGGTTTGATAATTGGAAGAAAATTTTTCAATTACATCAACATGAAATCGGATATTTTCACTGAGAATGCAAGTTGATATATATTTAAAGAAAACAAAGCTCTGTTGATTATGACCTGCAACTTAAATTTCATAAAAAACAAAATTACTGGAATTTATTATTAAAAAGTCTTATACCAGTCATTATAATGTTATTGGAACGAGGTTTACTTTTTTGTTGAACAAACGAACATTTGGGTTTTCTACATAATGAAAACTATTGTGGTTTACTAGAACTTGTAGCTCAGTTTGAGCCACTTTTAAAAAATCATACCACAATATATCCTAATAAAGGTAAAAGAAATCAATCTTACATATCAAAAACAAAATGCTAAGAGTTAATTAAAATAATTGGAGAAAAAAATGCTATCTCTCGTAAAAGAGTTTTTTGTCGCTCACTACTTAAGTGTTTCAGTCGGTTTAAATCCAGATATTGTTCATAATAACCAACTGAGTATAGTTGTTAGATAAGTTTATCTATTATTTCGTGTTTAAAATGCTTTTAATAAAATGGTTGTTTTTTATTTGATTGCTGTGACAATTGCGCTTATAATTGAGGATACCTACTTTTAAGAAAATTTAAAACAAAAAGGTTTTCATTTTTTGCATCATTTTTTGCATCATCATTGAGAGTTTGTTTAACAAAAGAAGAAAATGTATCGCTAAAACTAAAAAGGTGGTTTGGTATCGAGTATTAGTATTATTATTACGTACTTAGTATAAGTTTTTTGTGAAAAATCTTACTTAGCAGGATCACGCTAAAGAAAACTTTTTTCTTTAGCGTGATCCTGCTAAGTCAGTTACTGTCATATTTTCATCCCCAAGTATCTAATAAGTTTTTTAAAGTATCTAATAAGTTAGATTCCAAATCAACGTAAATTAGCAAAATTTTTCAATAACACAAATAAACCATTTGGGAAGCTACACTACATTAGTTTTTTGTGGAATAAAGAGTACCCATACCAGTGACAGATCCAGGATTATTTGAATGATGTATATGAATATATATATATATATATATATATATATATATATATATATATATATATATATATATATATATATATATATATATATAACTCTTTTACGAGAGATGTATATATATATATATATATATATATATATATATATATATATATATATATATATATATATATATATATATATATATATATATACATATATATATATATACATCTAACTGATACTTTAAGCAATGTACTCAACACATGAAAAATGACTTGCTTTAAAAATAAGGTAATAATAACAACTATTTATAATAATGACAACAAAAATCAATTAAGTAAGTAACTGGAGATTTTTTTTAACAAATTTTTTGATAACAAAATTTTAACAAAAAATGTTTCTAGTAAGTTAAAAAATATTTTATCAAATATAATAAATTAAATAAATAAATAAATAGCCAGAAAACTGCATGTATTAAAAACCATCTGTCCAACTTAAATTATCTATCACAACATAAGCTATACTTTCTATTTTCAAGTAGACTGATTTTTATTTGTTTAAAAGTCTTAATCGCGATGCTTTTTCAAAAAATAAAAAACTTTTTACATTAAAACATATAAAACAATGTTATTGCAAAAGTTGAAAAAAAAAACTTAAGACTACGGCCAATTAGTGAGAAAGTTATAAAAATAAAAAAGAGACACAATACCCCCGTTTATAAAATATAAAAAAGACACAACACCCCCATTTGTATAATAAAGAAATTCTAAATCAACATTTTTTCAATAAAAATGTTCGGTATAACATAAAAAAACCCTTTTATGACGCAAAAAATACACACCGACAATGATGTTGTATTAATAGCTGAAATCACGAAAACCGATCAGCCAGGATTTATAAATCCTAACTCAATAAGCTTAATAGAGTTTGAGCTGAAAGAAATAGGGAGAGCTCTGCAGATCAAATAACAATATAAATTTTAAAAGGAAGATAAAAATTTGGTTTTAAAAAGCTTCTTTTTGTATTAAAAAAAAGATAAATGTGAATATAAAATCTTACAGTTTCCACACTTTATCAACTTTAAAACAAACCAAAAAAATATATATAATATTAACTTAATTTTTTAAATAAATTTAGATAAATCAAGGTTATCTCGTTTTAACATTTATAATTCTACTTTGTTTGAATAGAACGCAAACGCGGGCAGTAGAGAGTTCGGTAATATTTTATAGACTCTCGTAATAAAAATGTTT